GCCGAGAGAACGGCACTGCCAGTGGGTCGGGGTAGGCTCGGCAGTCTCCCGCCCCCGGCGGCGGTGCCGACGTCGTTCCCGGCGGCGGCGCCTCCGCGCCACCGTCCGCGGCGACCGCCTCGCTTCTTTCCTACCGCGGGCTGTCGCGTGCGGAGAGGGGGGCAGCACGCCGCGAGGCCTGGAGCCAGGCGCGGCGGGAGGGTGCTGTGGGGGACGGCAAGATGCAGGAGCAAAGAACAAGCCATAGGCAAAGAAAAGTCGCCCCGGGTGTTGGTGGTGGTGATATCGCAAGGAATAGGCGGGCTTTAGGCGTTAGGTCGCTTGAGCCTACGACAAGGTCGGCCCGCCGGCGCACACCGGTGAGTGGGAGTCAGATGTGCAGGGTGCGTGAGACTTTTTCGAGGACCCAGGGTGGTTCATGGATCCATTGAACGGTCGTTCAAAAACATTTTACCCTAACAGGGTGCCGGACTAGATATCACCGGGACGCAGGAGTTACCCCTGTCGTTGAATCTGCACAACCAGAAGCCCCAAAGGCTCCAGAACAAAAAACGGGTCTTGAGTATCAGTTTCATGCGCGAGAGAGGAGTTCGATTGCTACATTGTAGTATCCTTGCCAAGAACAAGCGATAATGCCCACGATACGAAATTGTGGGGATGAGCGTGATCAAGTCCCACGAGCAGAACTGAGCCAGCAACCCCGACGACTACAACGAGCATATTTCACTCACCCTACCACCCGATGAAATATCCTTTAGCCGTGGGCTGGATGGAACGGCTGTCAGGGCAACCTATTCGCGTTCAAGAAGGGCCCTATCGTATCTCCACGTTGTGATCATTCGACCCCTACTCCTGCACGAACTACCCCGACCTCCAGGCGGCCGCTGCATCAAGTCGCCATCCTCGGCAAGCCAGCGGCGCCGGTGGGGACCAGGCGTTCGACACGGACGGTAGCGCTGGAGGCGTCGGCGGCGGCACCTCCTCTTCCTCAAAGCTCGGCAGGGGGGGCGCGGTGAACCCCCGAATTAGCGTCCGCAGCAACAGCGGCAGCAACGCCAGGGTCGGGCGGCGGGTAGGGGGAGACTCGTGGGCGAAGCCCGGTGCGACGCGAAAGCCGGCCAGCATTAGCAATTCCCGAAGCAGGCAAACCCCGTCAACGGCTAGCCGGGGGGAAACGGTAACGGTGAGAGGGCGAGGCGGAACCCGGTCTGGCGGTGGCGGGAAAACCGCGCGGTCGGCCCTGTCGAAAGATAGCCGGGCCGAGGGCAGCGGCGGCGGGAAGCCCAACGGTAACGCCCGGTCGCCTTCCAGCTACCGCTTCAGGACCACGCTCGGGCGGAGGGGTAGCCAGCAGCCCCCCCGGCCCACGGCCCCGGTCGCGTCGCCGTGGACGCCGCGCGAGGACGCGAGGCCGTGGGGGTGGGGCGGCGGCAAGGGGAGCGACCGGGGGGGCGACGAAGACGACGAAGATGACGAAATACGCGTCGTCGACGCGATCGCGCACGACGATCGGGTCCTTGGCTATGGTGACGGCGGCAGCGGCGGAGAGGGAACGTTCGTGTCACCGCTGTCTACCGCGGGGATCCTGCACCGGATATCGTCGAGCAGGCGGTCTTCTGCTGTGGCGGCGGGTCTGTCAGCACCGCCCTCGGCTGCCGCTGCGTCTTCCGGCGCCGTGCAGACGGGGGATCGCCCCCAGCACCAGGCAGGGGCGCCGCGGAATCAGTGGCAAGATTCAGAACCGGGTGTTCGCGAAAGCGGTGGCGGAGGAGCGTCATCGGCAGCGGCCACGGAAGGTGATCGCGACAGCGATGGGCCGTACGACCAAAGAAGGAACCTCGTCGCCTCCCATCACTCCTCCGAGCGAGATCTCTTGCAACCGCCATCGTACGACATGCTGGAGCAGTTTTCCGGGGGGGGGCGTCGAAGCGGAAGCGGCCGCGACTTTTCTCCTTCCGCCGGCGCCGGCGGCGATGGGAGAGGGGATCGTCGAATGGGCGGGATGTCCCGCGAAGAAGCCCATGACCACCAACACTACCACCACCGACGACATCCATACCAGCACCAACTGCATCAGCACCACCATCAGCACCACCGGCGAGGTGTCGGCCCAAAGAAAACGAGCACGCACTATCGTCCGCGCGGGAAGGCCACGACGAGGCACTCGAGCTCTCTGCGGCGACGCCGACGGCTAGAGGAAGAAGAAGACGACGACGACAACGACGAAGGAGAAGATGGCACAAGAGAGTACCCGGGTAGTGTCCTCGAGGGAGAGGCCGAGCCTGGGTTCGAAGCCTGGCCTGACAGTCGTGGCGTAGCCTTTGACGATGACAGACAGGACGGCGAAGAAGAAGAGCATGTTGACGATCGGGGGCAGGAGCGGCTACAGGAGGAGCGACGGCGGCACCTCGAGAGGCACCTCCCGTATCAGCAGCAAGGTACTCGCGCGGCGGACACCGGCGCTGCTCCTACTGATGACGACGGCGGCGGTCCGTACGACTACCGCAGTGACGGTGACGACGAACAGCGTTCCTACGAGGGAAATAGACCTCCTCCAATCGGTGGTAACGGCGGTAAAGAAACGGCGGAGCTGGAGGAGGATGAGGCGAAGGAGGAGGAGGAGGGACAGGAAGGGGAGGTGGAAGAGGGCCTAGAGGGCGGACGAGGTTCGGGAGCAACGGCTACAGGGAAGGGCCAGCGGCAGCGGCGGCAGGACGTGAGCAACAATCAACCCGAGGCCGCCGGAGACAGCACCGAAGAAGAGGAGGTATTTGAGGATGAGGTCATGGACATGCTGTCGTTCTTGGTCGCGGGGCGCCATGGCGGGGGCGAAACGTCCGATCAAACTTCGCAGCCGGAGGAGGAGGAGGACGAGGAGGACAAGGAGGAGGAGGAGGAGGAGGAGGAGGAGGAGGAGGAGGAGGAGGAGCAGCAGCAGCGGCGGCCACAGCAGCCGCAGCCGCGGCCACGGCGGCAGTCGAGTCCCGTGGTGTACGGATAGCGAGGCCTTTGTCGCCCAGGCTATTCGTTTAAAGCCTTCCTCTCTTGCTTGGCACCGGGGCGCCTCCCTGTCGCGGGCGCGGTCCTCACGGGGCCGACCACAGCCTCGCCTCCTCTTGGTTGCCTGCACCGCCGCCGCTGTGCCTGTCTTTTGCTGGACCAGCCGCACGTTACCGTGCTCGCTGTTTCGATAAACAACGTATCGTCCACCGTTGCGTCATGTTTTAGTTGGGATTTGTTTTCGCTCTTTTGTAGGGTTGTTCGAATGAGTGCGATTGTTTACTCGTACGCGCAACACGGCCAGGCAGCCAGGCAGGCACGGTGGAGCGGCTGCATGCGGCTGGGCGGTTGCTTTTTCGTGCGCAATATTCGTAACACAGGTCAAAACCGCGCCTCGCCATCGTTGTTGTAGTTCGAATGTGGAGGAAGGGCCCGCAGGGTTGCTGACCCCAGTTGAGACGAAGAAGCAACGACACAGCACTTTCTAAACTTTCTAACCGGAAGGGAGGGGTTGCTCAAACTGTACCCCAAAACACGGAGCGACACCAAAAACGGAAAACTAGACATACGGGAACAATGGTGGCCAGCAGAGAGCAGGTTTCCAGCCACGCGAAACCCTTCCTTCCTGACAAACCCAAACAAAAAAAACGGCACGTCGGAGCCAGAAAAAGAGTGGTACGGTAGTACTACTGTAGGCTGCATGCCAGTACTATCTAACCTTGGCTCCCCCAAGGAACAAGAAGAAAACACGTCGGCTGGGGTTCACCTGCCCGCGTGTTGGGTGAACTAAGCTGTAACTAGAACACGAAAGTATACACACACATTCTTCGGTCAGCTGGTTTGCGCGGTCGATGCTAGTATTAAAGACACACACACACACACACACACACACACTACTGGGGAGTCACGATCGAGCAGACTGCGACACAGGCAAACTTTGTGGTGCAGGTGCATTGTTGCCATGCAAGGACCGCTTGAGCCGAGCCCACTCCCTCGTCTGCACCAAGACCGGCGCCTCATCCTTCCTCCATAAATAACAGGATGGTTCGAGTAGTCCTCAAGACACTGCGCGAGTGCCATATGCCCATCGCCGTTGAGGATTCTTCCCCTGTTACCACAGGCACTGGTAGGGGAAAAGGGCTATACAAGATGGATTTGGTATTCCCCCCAGTATTACACGCAGGAGAGAAGGAAGAGGAACCTGCACCAAGTCCATTCTTATAGACGTAACAATCGTCAACCCATCCGCAGGTCGAAGCATCGACACGTCCATTCGAAAGCCAGGATCCGCCCTCGAAGATCGAGCTGCAAGTAAGGCAAATCACTATGCGGGAACTTTCAACCCGTCTAGATCTACCCTCCTTTGCTGCTTTTTCAACGAATGGTGGTCTTTGGCAAAGGCACCAATCGACTCATCGTTGCTATCGCCAACCACTTGGCGCACGAAGCTTTTTGCCGGGGGAATTTTGACGACGAAAGAGCCTTAGTTCGCCTGAAAGCTTTTCATACTAACAGGATTCGAAGACGGTTTAGCTTCGAGCTAGCTCGTTTTCTGTCGATGCGAACTCGCGATGTGTTCAAACGTCATGGGCTACTGATCGACCAACTTCCGCCAGGACCAATCGGTTGGGATATCTGCGACAACGATAGTAACGGGGGTAATTCTTTTTGGAGTGGCGGAGACGAAGGAAAGGGAAAGGGAAGAAAGGAGGACGAAAACGACGATGGAGGAGGAAAACATGAAGAATTGTGGCAAAGAGTTTGAGCCAGATGACCTTCCCCAAAACAAGAAATGTAGGGCTAGGGGAGAGCTGCCCAGAGATTCTTGTCAAGATGAGATTCAGAATGATGGTAGCGAAAACAAGGAGGATAATGGTGAAAGTACTCCTAAACGAACTAGAGTACAAGGTAATAGCCTTGGTAGACGCGTCCAGTTTTCTGCTGCTGCTGCTGTTTCTGTCTTTGATCCGAAGGATAGTTTAGCCTCCCCCATGCTGCCCCCTCACGGGGTCCCAGTTCATGGCAGATAGAAGTGTTTTGTGTTTTCAACCGCACTAAGACTGGCGTCTTGTCATTGGTCAGCCGGTTAGCGCGGTCGATGCTAATAAACACACACACACACACACACACACACACACACACACACATCTTGGGTGAGAAGCACCGACACCACTAATAGCTGAGTACAATGGAGTGTGGCGAATATATGTAGAACAACAAAAACAACAAAGATGACAGGCATCGATACGAACAACGAAACAATCCACGTCCTCCCTTGACAATTAGCGGCGACTTCCTGTCGTGTCCACGCTTTCTACGGTCGAACCAACACATCACATCCCGGCATACATGTATAAACCCCCACCCCCCCATCCACCCCATCTTTTGATGATGTGGACACAAACTACGACCTTATTGTACGTGTACCCACGTTCCGCGAGGAACAACGGCACGCGCACCTATTGTTTCACCAACGAGGTCTCCTACCTCACCCCGCCCCGGCCTCCAGCCTCTCTCGGCGCTCACCCGCCCACCGTCGGCCCACGGCTGACACCCTTTCTCCCCGACCGAGCGAGCGTCTAGGCAGCAGCACATTAGCGTCTAGGTAGCAGCACAGCAAGGGTAGGAGCGGGCGATAGACGCCAAAACAGCTAGCTAATCACGCAGGCGGCCGATGACGCTCTCGGTCGCGCTAGGTGAGGTCCTACAGACTCCTGTTCTTCTTCTTCCCGCTCTTCCTCCTCCTCCTCCTCTACCTCCTCCTCCTCATCATCGTCCGTCTTTCGTCTATTTTCTTGCCTTCGCTGGCCCCTTCCCGACAGCGAGGAGAAGGAGTGTTGTTCCTCCGGAGCACCCCTGTCGCCGGCGGCGGCGGCGGCGGCATCGCCGCCTCTATCACTGCTGCTGCTTCGGCTCTTCTTACGCGTCTTGTTCCTTCCCTTCACCCCGGCGAGCGACGCCACCGTAGCACCCCCGAGCTCGCTCGACAGCCGCCGCGCCTTTACCTTCATCCCGTCCACCTTGCCCTTGATCTTCTTCGCCTGGGTCCATGATCAGCACGGTGGGCAAGCGTTTCCGCGGGTTAATACAACTTGGGTTGTTCTAGTAACAACAGTCGAATGAAGCATGCCATGGGTGTGTAAAATGCTTTGCGCGTTGTTGTGTGTCTCTCGCCACTAGTACCCGTGCGAAACGTTCTGCAGTGCAAGCAGCGGAAGCAGTCGTAGTAGCAACGGCAGCAGCAGTAGTTGTACCAGTAGCAGCAGAGGCGGTCGTAGTTCTGGTGAAACAAACACCCCAACGCAACTCGTTCCGAAAACCGATTTCACAAGGGGGCACGCTGCTGCCCGTTCGTATCGCGAAGAAAGAAGGGCCTTCGCCACCGAGCGCCATGGGGATGCATCGAAATCCGACACCAATCGCAGGGGGGCAACGCACGCCGACCCACTATTTTTTTCCACATACCGTAAACCAGTAACCCCCTCTGGGGGTGCCCTCGACACACACGGCTTAGCTGGCTGACGGCGTGTTTTTCGGTTTCTAAAGCGTGTGTGCCATGCGAAGTCAAAGGCACAGCTGTTTCGAAACGACTTGATGCTGTTGCGTTGTCGTCGACGCATGTAACCCCGTGCCCCCCTTCAATGCAAATGAACGAACTTCATAACCTAGGAGAGAAAAAAGTCCAGCCTGTTGCTCTTAACTCACAACGAGGACGAAGCCGGGGGCCTCCGTCACAGCTGCTCTCACGTCCGCGTCGCTAACGGCGACCCTCTCTCGCGCGCTGTCTCCCCAGGGACCGGCCGTCTTTGAGCCGCCGCCATCACCACCACCACCACCACCGTCACCAACATCACCATCACCACCGCCAGCAGCAGCAGCAGCAGCAGCGCCGAAACGAGAGTCATCGGCCGCTAGGAGGGCGGAAGGAGAGAGAGAAGAAGAAAAGCTGCTTTTCGCCAGCAGCGCCCCGCGAAGGAACGCCACGCTCCCAACCCCGCCTTCTTCGCCTTCTTCGCCACCTTCGCCACCACTTCCGCCTCTTCCGCCGCTTCCGCCGCTTCCGCCGCCTTCGCCACCTTCCCCGCCGCCGTCGCCATCTTCGCCCCGATCGCCGCACCGCTCACCCGGCCGTGGCGGCTGTACCCAGCAGTGGTCACGGGCCTCCGGCACCGTCAGTCGCTTCCCCGGGTCCTTGGTGAGAAGCCGGTTGAGGAGGTCTTTGAGGGTCATGTCGGCCTGTTTCGTGGGGGTGCGGGGCGGGGGGTGGGGGCAAGAAACGAACTAAAGCTCTCTGGATGGAAGAAAAACTAATATATTTGTATGGGGGATGCTTCCGGCATGCCTTGTGGTGATAGGCAACGGCGGTTGGGTAGACGGGCGACTTGGTGTAGCTCCCTGGATTACCATACTATCTACCACGGACCACCCGTGTGTGCTTTCGTATAAGCACTTGTCGCGACGGCCAGGTCTTCCCTGTCTGGTCAAGCCCGGCCCGGCCCGCATGATGCTCCACACTCCTCAAGCGTTCAATTGCTTCGTTATTTGTTGCCTAATCAGTTGCGAATGTAGTCGTTTGCGGTATCCGCCTGCCCTACGGGTCAAGTTTTTGTAGGACCGGCGCGGCGATAACTACATGCCGTGGGCTCTTGGAGAGGCGACGCACACGCTCTCCCTATCTTTTTTCCCTTATGGCTGATTCACGTTCCCTCTCTCTCTGCCTGTCTTTTTGTCTGTCTGTCTGTCCGTCTGTCTCTCTCTCTCGCTGCTTCCATCCGTCTATCTATCGCTCCCTCTCTCGCACAATACATACACTCCTTCTCTTTCTCTCTCTCTCCCTCTCTCTGTTTATGTCTATCTCGTTGTACATGTATATTCCTTGTGTATCCCATCTTACTACCGTCTCACCCCATCTGGTACTGGCGCCGGATCCTGTGCGATGGACGTGAACAGGTCCATGGGGTTCAGGCTGCGCGGGGGTCGAAAAGAGAAACGAAGGGGGGGTGGGGCGTACAAAGGAGAAAATCACAACTCTAGGTCCGGAAGAGGGCAGCCTGGCGAGGCTAACAAAAGAGCACGAGAGTTCCGGTTCACGACAGGGTGGGCGCCGGGGGGGGCGCTCAAAGAAAAGGACGGACTGGCTGATCAAAGCTCATCAACAGGTTAACCTCCCGCTTGGAGGACCGCGCGGATTGTGAAATACTTCACGCTTCTGGTCGCGTTGAGACAACCGAGCGTCGGCTGGCCAGCCAGTTGTGTTCCACGACAGTCGGACGTAAACCCGAGTTCATTGAAGCATGTCCAGACACCACATTTGCTCGTCTTCCCGCCGAGAGCGGTGTCTTTCTCTTCCAGGCAACAACGGTTAGCGCGGTCAAAGATAAAACAAACACACACCTCACAATTGTGCGCGCGCCCAACACATACCAAACGCTCTTGTCGTAGTCAGTGTCACGACGCTAACAACGGCCATCAGCAGCACCTGAACTGCACCCAAAAACCTGCCGAACAACCAAGTGTTTCCACTCAACCAATCAAACCAATGGAAGCACACCTGAAGAAGGGCACGGTCCCGTAGAGGAGGCACCAGAGCGTCACTCCCGCGGCCCACGCGTCGGACGCGTAGGCGTTGAAGGCGGCACCCTCTCCCCGCTCGCCGCACATCTCGGGCGACCAGAAGCACCACGTGCCCTCCGTGGAGCTCATCTGGGCGCGAGACGTGGATCTTTTGTTTTTGTTACAAAGAGTGTGGTTCGAGGAGGGGGGGGGGGGGGGGGGGGGCCCGAAAAAAAGGGGAGGGGGGGGGGGAACCCAAATCCCCCCCCCGGCAAAGTTGGTTGAAAATCGGGGGGGAAAATATGGGTTTACCCCCAACCCCTAAAGGCCCCCCGAAAGAAAGGAAACGATTATTGGGAATTTCCTGGGGGTTTCAGGGGGGGGGGGGGGGGTTTCTTTTTTAATCAAAAGGAGAACGGAAAAACCCCGAAAAAAAGGGGGGGTTCCCCCCCCCCCCCCCAAAAATGAAACCAAAGGTTTTTAAGGGGCACCACCCTTTTTTGGGAGCAAAAAAAGGGCCAACCCCCCCTTTAAAAAAAAAAAAAGGCGGAAACTGGGCCTGGCTTTTTCCCGGCGGGCCACACTGGTGTGGGAAGGAAATTCCCGGGAACCACCTTTTTTTTCCCCCGGGGGGAAGGAGCTCTCCAAACCCCCCCCGGGTGAAAGGCCTCCCCCACCCCGGGCCCCAAAAAAATTGAACC